CGGGTCCTACTTCTTGCCTTAAGCCTTCGTTTGTTCCGCAGACGGTGTCCTTTTTTGTTTTTTATCGCCATCTCTATCTTTCTTTCGCTCGGCTCGTCCTGTGCACTGAACTCTCTCTCCTCCACATCATGAGTAGACACGCCCCTTACTGCTGATTGGCTACGAGTTTGTTTTGCTAGTCGCCCCCAATCAGTTTTCGAAAGCATTTTTGAAAAATCACTTACCCCACCTTTAACATTTAGTTATACTGTCATGTGTTTATGTCTCATCTTTTCTTGTCTTTATCAGCATTTTAATCCATCTTTAGATGTCCTGGGAACTAAGGTTCACTTAAAGTTGGAACTAAACGTCTTTCCCAACTTGAGAACTGAATTTGTGCCAATATCACGAATCATAACTATATCAGCATCACTTGGCCCTTAAGTGTAGTTTGGGCTCCTCCTCAATGCATCCTATAAATGTTATCGTATGTCTTGCACACATCCAGTCTGTTTTTCTTCATTAGTAACATGCAATTATATAGGAGGTGTTGAATTTTATCTTTAGCGCCTTGCTTTCTTTTTTTATCATGTCAACAGGTTAAGTAAAAATATGGATATGCAATATAGCACTATTTATAGCACTTTACAGTTATTGTTTTTCTAGCTGATTGGTTATTCTGAGGTACATTATTGTTATGTGGCATTATTTACAAGCTTTACATGTTTTCCGCAGTTTGAAACACTGAATGAGCCATTACATGAGACATGATGTCCATTTATGATTGTTTCGTACTATAGTAGTAAAGAGAAAGAAATGATGGGTTCACGTGCCGCTTGAACTGAGGCGAATCGCTCATGCATTTAATGAACAAAAGAGCGCCAAAACGGTATTTATTGTTTGAATTTTGTTAATAATTTGGCAGAATTTTTAAGCTGATACTTTGTTTATTAAAAGGTAATGGAGCACAAAGCTTATTGCAATTATTGGACGGCAAGTGCGCTACAAATAATATGAAGCTCACGCAATAACAGAACAATGCTTACAGACTAAAGATCTTGATAACAAGAAGCCATATCAGTATCGATTATAAACTATCGCAAAACAAGCAGGAAAAAAGGCATTACATGCAAGTTTTTTAATCATAACCTGTAAATTTACATAGTCGCCAGTGGCGACCTCAGCAAAAATATCACTCGCAAATTAATATTTTTAGTTGCTAATGCGACTGTTTTAGGCGTAGTCTAGAGCTCTGAATTACATGGTGAATGGCCCGAAATGTCAAAAGAACTATATAAAACGAGGATGCTTTTGACATTTCTCCATGTTTGAATCTGCTACACAGATTTTCCCTAACGAGGAGGACAAAAAACACTGGAAAAACTCCATGGTTTCTGTTGTTTCCTCGTCATGACATCTGTGGAAACGTCAGCAGCTCTTTGTGCTGACAGAGAGCCAATCGGAGCGAAACTCCCTACTAATTAAATGCTCTTTAGCTTCTTGATCAATATTGAAACTCAAAGCGTCTCTACCTCCAACGTGCTGTCCATTATAGTCCATACAAACCATCTGGACGTCCTGCAAGTCTCAGAGCGTGCGGCAGATTGATTTCTTGCTAATTGCAGTATGTGGACGCGGCTCTTTTCTAATCTTCAGAGAAGTGGCAGTCTAAATAACATAACATTTATAAACAAACTCATGTTGTAAGGCATTTTAATGTAGTCACCTATAAGTAAGCCATTATAAGTCAAGCAATGCTTAGGTCATGGGTTCGATTCCCAGAGAATATACCTTGAATATATACCAAACGTATACCTTGAATGAAATTTAAAAAGGTAGTTCACCCAAAAATTATAATTTTGTCATCATTTACTGACCCTCAAGTTGTTCCAAATCGGTATGAGTTTCTCTCTTCAGTTGAACACAAAAGACGAGATTTTGAATGTGCTGGTAACCAAACAGTTTCGTTTCACTGACTTATTGTCAATGGCTACTGTTAACTTTTTTGGTTACCAACATATTTTTTGTGTTCTATAGCTGAAATAAATTCATACAGATTTGGAACAACTTGAGGGTGAATAGATGACATTTTTCATTTTTGGGTGTCACTTTGGATAAAAGCATAGTGTGAATGCATAAATGCAGAATATACTGTATAACACGGAATGTCATGGAATTCTGCAAAATATTGGATAAATGAATCAAAACTTGGTACACTTAGGTCTAATCAAAATGAACTAGTAATATGCACTAGTGTCTGTGAATGTAAAACCGCAAATGACTTCTATTGAAAAAAAAAAAACTACGTAAATTTGTATTAAATAGTAAAACAGAACCTGGAACAATTTCAACAGACAACACAGACTTTCCAAAAAATTCTACATAATTGTATATATACATTTTAGGGCACTATTATTGTTAACATTTTAATTATGTAATTATTCTTCTAAAGTTTTATGAATATAAAGGGATAGTTTATTTACTCACCCTCATGTTGATTCAAAGAAGAATGTGGGTAGAAGGAAGAAGAATGTGGGTAACCAAACAGTTGATGGTAGCCAATGACTTCCATAGAATAAAAAAACTACTATGGAAGTCAATGGCTACCGTCAACTGTTTGGTTACCCACATTCTTCAGAATCTCTTCTTTTGTGTTCAACAGAAGAAAGAAACACAGGTTTGGAACAACTTGAGGGTGAGAAAATGATGACATGACTTTCAATTTTGGGTGAACTATTGCTTTAATGGATTCAACATCCTTTTTGATTAATACTATTTAATTAAACCATTAAAACTCAAATGAAAAATAAAAAAATTGGGGAAAAAAATACAATCGAATTTGGGTTCAAATGAAACAGATTTCATAGAGCCCTTGCTTTTAAAACAGATGTTGGCTATAAAAAAAAGCCTTATTCATGTCTGTCAGCACAAAGACATCAAAGAATCTCTCTGCACCTCCATAGGACTCCATATTTAGAAAGCGCTAATCAGCCAAACTATCAAGGGCTCACTTCACTCTTAATGTGACACCGCATATCAAGAGGAACATGAATCTAGAGGTGATATGTCTTTTTAAATATGTGCAGAATTCCACAGAAAGATTTGCAGGGCTGAAAATGGCTGTGCACAAAATTGCTTTTAAAGCTGGCACTGTAGGGTGCAACAGATTTGTTGTTATATTGAGATATGTGGGTCATGTGTTTAAAAAAGCTAAGGGATAAGTGTGCACTACAAGTCGCGCTCGACGCTGTGATTTGATGATATGCATAAAAAACGATACCTGAGAGATACAAACCTACACTGCAAAATCATTCTGAAATACGCTGTGGGTGAGACTTAACACAAACCAGACATTCAAAACAGATAATGCACCATCCAAAGGTCGGCTTTAGGATAATGTCAACACGCCCAGATGTCCAACATCATCTCAAAACAAACAAATAAAGAAAATGGAAACCGCTGACAGCAAACCTAACTGACAGGCTGTGCTTTTCTGAGATGCACCAAAAAAAAGCTACATAAGCACTTAAGAAACAAAGAGCATACGATGCATAGAGTCAGGATATAAGCCCCAAACCCCTAGTTAACACAAATCTCACCGTCTCAGTGATTTTACACTCCAACCGAGACTAAACAACACGCATTATTTCATGATAAAACACACATTTTCTCTTTCACGCACATTTCTGACAATTATTACAGGTGATGTTTGCATGCATATGTCTGAATATGCATGTAAATGAGAAACTGTGTTTGAAAACGTAGTGAACTGCCTACCTAGACAGCATCTTTAGGGCATTGCTTATGATGCCTTAAGCTGCTGCATTTGTCTATGATGCTTATAAATGGTGCTGTGTGCACCTATATTACAATGCTGCATGCATACGATGCCCAAAACTGCTGCATGCACCCCTTATACCACAAAATACTGCACATACCCATGATGCACCTCAAAATGCTGCTGTATTTGCCTATGATGCCCAAAACTGCTGCATGCACCCCTTATACCACAAAATACTGCACATACCCATGATGCACCTCAAAATGCTGCTGTATTTGCCTATGATGCCCAAAACTGCTGCATGCACCCCTTATACCCCAAAATACTGCACATACCCATGATGCACCTCAAAATGCTGCTGTATTTGCCTATGATGCCCAAAACTGCTGCATGCACCCCTTATACCCCAAAATGCTGCACATACCCATGATGCACCCCAAGTTCTGCTGAACATGCCTATGATTTGGCCAAACTGCTGCAGCATGTGCCTGTGACTCCCAAAATGCTGCATGCACCTATTGTTCCCCAGAAATGCTGCTACACTTTCCTATGATGCAAAAACATGCATCTATGATGATGGCCAAAAATATTGCATGCACCTATAACACCCCAAACTGCTACGAACACCTATACTACCCCAATAAATCTGCATGTCCATGATGCCCCCAAAAATGTTGCTGCACGTGCATGTGATGCTCTAATTTGCTGCAGCATGCACCTATAACACCCCAAAACTACTGCATGCACCAATGATGCCCCAAAATGCTGTTACACATGCATATGATGCCCAAAATACTGCATGCAACTATAACACCCCAGACTGCTGCAAGAATCTATGATGCACCCCAAAATGCAGCAGCATGTGCCTATGACTCCCAAAATGCTGCTTGCGCCTGTTGTTGCCCAAAAACACTGCTACACACGCCTATGACGCCTTAAAATTGCTGCAGCACGTGCCTATGATGCCCCAAAATGCTGTTACACATGCATATGATACCCAAAATTGCTGCAGCACGTGCCTATGACTTCCGAAATGCTGCATGCACCTATTGTTGCTGAAAAATGCTGGTACACTAGCCTAAATTGTAGCACATATATATAACACCACCAAACTGTTGAAAGCAATGCCCTGAAAAATATCGGCATAAAAATGATGGCCCAAAAATGTCGCTACACACGCATGTAATCCTCTAATCTGCTGCAGCACGCCCCTATGACACCCCCAAAATATTGCATGCACATATGGCGTCCAAAAATGCTGCACTCGCCCCCTGTGGCACAACAATGCTTCACACGTCTGTCATGATCCATGCACTTACGATAAGTAGAAATGTTACGTGCATCGTATAAAAACGATGCTGTACACAATGACCGAAACGCTGCGTAAACATGACGCGCGTGAATGCTGTCTACTTAGGCAGCTCGCTAGGGTTTGAGACACAGCCCAGACGCTCTGAAAGCGAAACGAAAAAAAAGTGCAACATAAGGACACTTAGCACGTGCTCCCGGTGTTGCATCACAACAACAATAACAGCGAAGACGATGATGATGACCACGAAGAAGATGAAGGTTATAATCACTCACGCTCTCGGCAGCTGCAGGGGTGGCGCCCCCCGCCGCAGAAACACCCCGTCCACGAACACCCCGTTTTTCCCCAGACAGCGCAGATAAAACTCTCCTCCGCCCGGTCCCGAGCCCGTGTCCTCCGCGGCGGCGGTGAAGATCTCCAGGTGCCGGCGGGAGATGAAGCTCGAGTGGCCCATGCTCACGTCCACCGAGCCCTGCGACGAGTTCCGACCCACCGTCACCGAGCGCTTCTTCATCACATACTCAAACTCACGGCCCTCCAGACGGGCCACCGCTGCCATCTTTATCTTTCCGCACACGGAACGGGGCACGATAAATATGAATGGTAAATATGAAGGGGGGTGAAACGGTAAACGTGCCCGACCGGAGACACCAGCATCAGCGGCGGCGACTCGACCCACCGCCGCGGTTCACCACGGAGAGAAAGGAAAGGGGCATTAGCCAATCAGGGCGCGCTGGTGGAGGGGGCGCTGTGATTGACAGGTAAACCAACCAATCAGAGACGCGTTAAGGAATGCGGTAATTCAATCGCAGCCAATGAAATGAGGAATATGGATGACCTGGCGGATTGAAGGTCGGTTGCGCTGCGCCTCAACACGCATGTATGTGGAGAGTTGTCAACACTGGACTGGAGATTCATCATGAATGGACTTAAAATGGTTTTATAATATAATAATTATCGAATAAAAACAATACAGCGAATATCGAATAAAAGTGTGATTTAATACAATACTAAAGTATTTTTTAAATAAAAATGATCAAATAAAAACCGTTTAGAATCGTTATTTGTATTCATATTTTCTTAATGCGTATTAACGGCCTTGGGAATATTGCAAGTGCCTTTAAATTAAATGCAATTAATGTCATACTCTGTTTAAAATGTTGCTAAAATGGAAATTCGTCATTCATAGAAAGGTTTTAACTCATCGTGCATTTGATATATTCTAATAGTTCACTTTTATACGCATTTTTAGCATCTATTTTTATAATAACGCATCATGATTTATCTTTCGAAACTAGAAAATGCATCTCTGGGTGAAATAACCCCTGATGATATTGAGTAGCCCTAGAGCAGAATCCCGTGTTACCCACTCCGCGTCTTACACCTCTCCAGGTCTGCAGCCGCCGACTCCCCCATGATCCTCAGCGGCGTCAGCGTGCGTTTTTGGGCATGGAGGTCATGAAAACAAACGCGTTTTAAGGCGCGAAAATGCCCCTTCCCTCAAATAGCACGCAGAACGTCTGGTGTTTGTAAACAGTGCTGCTGACCCGCCTGGGCGCATTCACACCCCATCACACCGGATAGCAGCTCCTAGAGGAGCTATAGAGAAGAGAACATACTTTCACGCTTGCTAAAAGCACCATGTTCATTGTATTTGATTTTTATGACCATGTAGTCTACCATGGTGATGGCACTATAGAAGACCCATGCTTTTGGATATGCAATGTACTCCTAATTTCCTTCTTAGAGCTGTTACACTAGGCAGGGCCGGCGCCAGCTCAACCCCCACTTCACATTCACAATTAAACACGATCTTTAAGATGCATGTGAAAGACGAGATTTTGTTGCAACTGCATTCAAATAAACCAGACACGGGCGTGTTTTCTGATTATTATACTTGTTTCCTACTGCAACGTAAAAAAAAAAAGAATAAAAAATAACCTGCAAAAGCATTAAATGCATTAAATTAAATGGGGGTCTGACCCCCCTAAAGAAGGCTTTAACCCCCCTGATGGATGTCAAAACTAGATGTGGGGGATCAGATTGAAAGAAGGCTAGCCTATGCATAATATGGAGATTTACTTGTAAATATTAATATGCATTTCTATAGCCCTAACTGATTTTAAAATATAATTTTGGCAGCTCCTGAAATGGGTCGTATTGACAGTACCTGAGCGGTTGAAGAATACTGCTACAGCGCTCATTCAAAGATGTGCATTTATTGCTTGGACGGAGAAAGAACACCTAATCAGACTACACGAGTTTAGCCCGATTCTGCCACGATTTGCTTGACGTAGGATGTCGTGGTGATTCGTAAACGACAGTGGGCGTGGGGACGCAAGATTCCATCGTTTCAGCTCGTGCAGTGCGTCAGAGTGGACGACAACCGATTCCGCGTCTGCGATGCTTCACGACAGAAAGACTAGCATGTTTCATTTTTTTTCCGTCGTCCATGACGAGTTCTGTCACATTGGTGACGTTGACCAATAGCAGCACAGAAGCTCTTTCATGCACAGGTTTCAAACATGGCGAAACGAAAGAGAGATGATGGGGCTGCTAGGGGGAATTATGAGATGGAGGAAAGGTTCGTGGAGCTGTGGCAACAGTACTCCTGCCTGTATGATGTGTCATCGAGGGTCTACCACGACAGAACAAAGAAAGAACAATGCTGGCGAACTATAGCGGAAGCGCTTCAGCAATGTTTACACTCTTGTTTTCGGAAGTCAGTCGCTAGTTCTGCCTTCTCGAAGACATCACGCGCGTCGTTAAAGACGGCACACGATGAATGGTCGGGAAGCAATGTGTATTCTGACATGTTTCTTGTTCACGACACAACAAGATTTTAGGAGTCAAAATCGTGTAATCTGACACAGTGACTAGTGACCGACAAAATATTGTGTAGTCTGAACCCGGCATTAAATGCACGTGCAGATTCAGTCGAGTGATAAAGTTTACCCTCTTCAACTTAATGCGGCTGAACTGAATTTATGGAGCAAACTATTTGCTAAAATATCCATAACATTAACAGCACCGCTGAAATACAAGCGCGCGGTTCGGTCAGTCAGATGCGCGTGAAAGCTGCGTGTGCTACTATAACAAACACTGTGCTTTCTTTCAGAATCATCATTGGCTGGTAGAAAGACAAAAATAGGTCACATAAAAGTTTTTACCTAAATATTAAGATAAGGTAAAGGTGTGAATAATTACATTTTAGACACATTGTCAGTAATTTCACCAATGAAAATAAAGTCCTACACTCTTAAAAATAAAGGTGCTTCAAAAGGTTCTTCACAGCGATGCCATAGAAGAACCATTTTTGGTTACACAAAGAACCATTCAGTCAAAAGTTCTTTAAAGAACCACCTCTTTATTACCTTTTTATAATCTGAAGAACCTTCTTTCACCACAAAGAACCTTTTGTGAAACAGAAAGGTTCTTCAGATGTTAAAGGTTCTTTATGGAAGCATTTAGACAAAAAGGTTCTTCTATGGCATCGTGAAGCACCTTTATTTTTAAGAGTGTAGCAGAACTGTTGTGCGTCTCAGATCAACACACAGCGTTGTTTCATTAATGGATCCACGTTTTTAAATGAATCGAGTGAATCAATGATTCAGTGAACCATTAATAAAGGCAGTCACTTGCTTCGTTTCTGAATGAATCAGCCATTTGAACGAATCGATTGAATGAATGATTGAATGAGTCACTTAAGACAAGGATTTGCCGCCACCTACTGGCGCTTTTAGTTTTATATTCGTTTCTTTTTCAAATAATTTCATATTTCACTATTTATTTGTATTTTTTTTATGTTGAATTAAACTATTTCTTTCTGAAGCTACTTATATTTCAGCTACCTTTTTGTAATGTCTATTCAGTGTTTTTGTTTCTAAATTAATGCACATGATGTACATGTTAATTAATTAATCTCATTAATTTGTGATTCATTTGATTAATTAATCGGCACATTATGTAATTACATTGACAGCCCTATTTAAAACATAAAAAGTACGGCTGAACTGGATCATCGAAGGTCAGAAGCAAAGACATTGGTTAATAAAATGGGATTAAATACATAAAGGATATTAGTGTTGTTTAACATTTTATTATTGCAGGTTTGCGTCATATTCTGAGTTGCGTTATTTTTATTCATTTTGAGGAATACTGAATCTGTGTTTTTTTTGTGAGTGAGATGAATTAATGCATATTCATATTTATTTTAGCACTACAGTAACATCTGATTTCTCTCAACATGGGAACAGGAGAGCTGTCAGTCAATAAATTGGAAAAGTAAGTAACTTGCGTTACTTATTTGAAAAAGTAACTCAGATATTCTCTTGTAAATTAAAAAGTAATGCATTTCTTTACTAGTTACTTGAAAAAAGTAATCTGATTACATAACTCACGTTACTTATAATGCGTTACCCCCAACACTGCTGAGAACTACTCTCACCTGAAGAGAATGCAAAATATCTGAGCTCGGTTGTTGCGACTCTCCTGTCCCAGGAGCTGGGTTACACAAAAACTAGCCAAATACAAAAAAAATAAAAATAAATTGCAATAAAATAACCATGATTTTTAGAGTACATGTGCATACTATAAAAGCAACTGATGCAAGCTGGTAATCACTTAAGTGGGTCCACTAAATGATTGTGCGAATGCTTCATTACCTCTCCATCCTCTGATCACTTGCCGGATCCATCAACCCGCTTTATTCCGGGACCTCGCAATTTACAAATTAAACGCTGTTCGTAGCGTTATAAATGATAAAGTCTAAATATCTAGGCCACTTGGCTAAAAAAAAAAAAATTACGATGTATCCACCTGTGTCTCCCCAACGTTTTCTCTCACAGTAGGCTATACCTTTCAGAAGCGCGTGTCGGGCTTTAAAACTCATCAGACATCACCAGTAGCAAAAGTCATTCATGTCCAGATAGTTTTATTCATTTTGATGACATTTATGGAAGTAGGCCTACATGAGGGTGGTTTGCATGTGATATTGACGCCGCTCAGGTGGGGCACAACGGAATTTAGAGTTACAATAACTAAGGGGTGATAACTTGTTGATATCAGTGCAATAATTCCAAAGAGTGCCCAAAAGATCAACTAAAATCTCTGTCCTTTTTGCCGCCCTAGGCGACTGCCTAGTTCGCCTATAGGCTATGCACGCGCCAGCCCTGACACTAGGCTACTATACCAGCATAGCCTATACCACAGTATTAGTTAGTGAGTTGTAATTTATTGTCCAGCCTTGAATGAAAATTGATCTTTGGCCTCGCTAGACACACAACGAAAATACACAAGATCCACATTAATTTATACCCGTATCTATTAGGATTTAGTACGTTATTAACTGTGATGGTATTTTAAGTTTCTCTCTCTCTCTTAATTTGTTGTTATTATTGTGTGTGGTTGTTCTGTAGGCTACTGCAGCTTTTGAGTCCAAGACCAATTTCATGTAAAGGACAATAACTTAACTTATATGACACAAATGTTTGTTTATATAGCTATTGCCTTCGATGTCCTTTAACATCGGGCAGATGCAGAGGCACAGTTCAGAGGATGCGTTTTGTCTCTATAGCCAAAGTTACACCAGTTTACAATATCATGCTGTTTTTGTACAATTAAAATGACTGGAAGCGAATGTTATTACTAAATGTAAATAGTGATAAGTGCAATTGACATTAAGTGTAAATATTAGCGAGCAGTTATTTGTATTAAAGGTAAATTGTCTGGTAAGTGTTGGGTGGAAATAGTCTTTGGAAAAAGACTGGATATTTGTACTCGGTGTAAATGGACACTGCCTACTACTGTCTGTTCAACATGAGTATTACATGACTAGTTAATTCTGCTTTACTCACTAGAGGGAGACGTTTAACTGTTGCCATTCGTTTCAGTAGATTGTATGGTGACTTTCTCACAAATAAAATGACAGTGCAAGCAAACATTTATTGTTTATAATGTTTACTTGACTCTGGTACAATCCCTTTGAACCTCTCAAATGACCACTGGACAAATCTGCAGGCAAATGACACTCAGTCATATCGAGACAAACCCTAAAACACATTTTTGAGATGTTAACATAAGTACAAGTTGCACATAATTGAAAACAACAATAGCACTCATTGTTTATTATGGGAAAGTTTTATGGTTATTCTGATGCTACATTTACATTTATTCGTTCAGCAGACACTTCAATAAAGCGACGTAGAAATGAGGAACATACTGAGTTTATGTAACTCAAATCCACCTGTCTGGAGCTTCCTTTGTTATGTAAGTGGCAATTGATTACTGTGGGTCATGCGTGTTTAAAACAATTCTCACTATAGGCCACCTAACCTAATGCATATTCAAACTATTGGACAAGATGCTTTGTTTTATTATCCAGATGAGCAAAACTGCACAAGGGTTTTGCGTTCAGAGTCTGGTTATGGAAAGACTTTCATGATTTGACCCCAAACTGACTGAACACGCATACACTCTTAAAAATAAAGGTGCTTCACGATGCCATAGAAGAACCTTTTTGTCTAAATGGTTCCATAAAGAACCTTTAACATCTGAAGAACCTTTCTGTTTCACAAAAGGTTCTTTGTGGCAAAAGAAGGTTCTTCAGTTTACAAAAAGGTAAGAAAGAGACGGTTCTTTAAAGAACCTTTGACTAAATGGTTCTTTGTGGAACCAAAAAGGGTTCTTCTATGGCATCGCTTGAAGTACCTTTTGAAGCACCTTTATTTTTAAGAGTGTATGATGCTCAAAAAAACGAAGAAAAGTGTCTCTGCAGGTTGAAGATTTCACTTGTTGTTCTAAAGTCAATAAAATAACAAATGAATGTCTATTACTGACTGTCTGAAACATTAATAAAATACAGATTAAATATAAAATACAGGATAGTACACTAAAACAATCTCTTACCACCATCTTCTTCATCTTTAGAGGAAATGGTGTAGTGCAAAGGATCCAGGGATTTTCCAATTGGTCCTCACAGGTCTTTCCACCAATAGCAGAGCCCTTTGGCCACGCCCCCATTTTTCACTCCACCAATAATAGAAACCGTTCAACAGGCCTCGTACTTTTCACCATAGCTATTGAGCTGTGGCATGACTACACACACACACAAATGTTTAAACAGCATTTTGCTAATTCTTCTATAAATGTTATGCATGCAGTTTTCAGTTCACATTAAACGAATAGTTCACCCAAAATTGAAAACGTACTCATCCTCAGGCCATCCAAGATGTAGATGAATTTGTTTCTTCATCAGATTTGGAGAAATGTAGCATTCCATCACTTGTTCACCAATGGATCCTCTGCAGTGAATGGGTGCCGTCAGAATGAGAGTCCAAACAGCTGATAAAAACATCACAATAATCCACAAGTAATCCACACCACTCCAATCCATCAATTAATGTCTTGTGAAGAGAAAAGATGCATGTTTGTAAGAAACATCATGAAGACGTTTAAAATATAAAGTGTCACATTTGAGTCCATAAAAACACTGCCTCCAGTGAAAAACTCCATCTCCTGTTATCTCTCACATCAAAATCCACCCACATATTTGTTTAGAATTGTTTTGGGACTGTTTTTCGCTTGTAAACTGTGCTTAATCTATGCATATTTCTCTCCTGATTCAGACGAGATGACATTTTCACTGGAGAAAGCAATATTATGGATTATTAGAAGAAATGGCTTGAAGTTAAAAAAGTCTTGATGGATTTGTTTCTCACAAACACGCAGCTTTTCTCTTAACAAGACATTAACTGATGGACTGGAGTGGTGTGGATTACTTGTGGATTATTGTGATGTTTTTATCAGCTTTTTGGACTCTCATTCTGACAGCACCCATTCACTGCAGAGCATCCATTGCTGAGCAAGTCATGTAACATTTCTCAAAATCTGATGAAGAAACAAACCAATCTACATCTTCCAATATTTGGACTTGAGAGCGTCAACATATTGGACAAGCAGGAATGGAAGGATTATGCCATCATATTACTTTTCACATTAATTATGTGGACCATTCGAAATGCAATCCTTATGTGATGAAATATGATTACTTGTTTGGCTGGCCTCATCTTATTATTGCTGTCATTAGCATTTCTTCTTCTGTATGGCTTCTCTTTCTTCCTTCTCACACACATAAATTGCTTTTTGTGCTTCATTGTGGTATGTTCGGTATCTACTGATGACCACCAGGATGCATTATCATGGGTTATTAAAATAAAGAGTAGAGCGATCAATATTCAGCACTCCAGAAAGCCAACAATTACATTGGAAAGCTCTTACAGAAACCATTTAGGAAACCGGTGTAATAACTCTCAGCTGGAGGACTGCGGCTAATGACAACATCCCACTTATGCAGAATGGGATTTTAGCAGCTTTCACAAGAATTTTTCAAATACAGTCCAACCCCTAAACTGTAAAAAAAAAACATCTGGTGGCAACATTTCAGGCATCATCAATCAAAATAACCAGAATAATGGGAATTTGCTGCTTGTATACAGTATTTTACAGGTTATAATTGTTTATTTTTAATCTTATAATTATAGAAATCATGCATAAGTATGAACGACTTTCCACCACAGAATAAAAAAATTATAATAAAAAGTTCTTCTCTCACAGTTTAGACATTTTCCTCACAATTTTCAGAAGACAAGTCAGAATTGTGAGATATAAAGTAAGTCTGGAGTTATAGCCGGTCAATGGTGGATCTTTGGGGAGCGATTGTAGCATTGTGTAGGAAATCAGCACTGTGATTGACATGACCAATGAAATCTTTTGTATCGGCTGCAGGGCGTAATTTTGAACTGGTTTGGGAAAACAAATTGTGTCATATGTGTCATGTGTCTGTCTGTCAAAGGGAGGAAGCCACGGCCTGTTTTGGAGTTCCCACCCCCATTTGAAGATTTTGTACCTCAATTAGCCAACCCCAAAGGGTAATCGGTGCTTATGTAGCTCACCATGAGCTACATAAGCCAAACAGTAATCAAAATCATTACGATAACACAAGCTGAATAGAACAATTTAACATTTTGCAATGCTTTCATGCTCTTGGCTCTTGTTTTGTGCATGAGGGCATGTCACTTTTCCAGTTAAACTGTTCGTAGCTGTAGACTGCATTTTATTATTTGCATTCAGTATTGCTTTTCCCTGACATCCATTTTTGGGGTTTGGTTGTTTAATCATGACAGTGGACTTCATACTGACACCTACTGGTGTGGATGTAGAGTCACAGAAACTCACCCATGATCAATTGATTCTGCATTCAAAAATTCAGTTTGGGAATCTGTAGATTTGGGCTGGTCATATGATCTCAACATGCTGGACCCCATGACAGGGAAGCACCTCATGTAAAATAACTGTAAAATAACATGTAAAATAATATCCTGCATATCACGCTCACAGGGTGGATCTCTCACGCTCAATGCTGATGTTTGCGCTGGCATTTCCAGTTCATCTGGTTTTCAGAAAGACATCTCTGACCAAAACAAAAGACTATAAAAGACGACGCCTCTGATTGTCACTGACCAAACAAGAACTTTGTTTTATAAATTAAATGTATGTGTCCCATCCACAATAACCACAGCGTCATTTCAGTACAAGTGTGCACGTTCAGCATCAAAACTTTTTGTGCTTATTGGTTATAATGACAACAGCTTTTTGTAAACCTCTATATAAAGGCAAAAGACTGTGTAAAAGGAAAGACATCAATCATAAATCAATCATTTGTTTTCAGTACAGTGCAAAAACCATAGTGCATTTCAGAGGTTCACCTGAGGTTTTCCAATGTGTACCATAAAGTGCATGACAGGATCTTCCAAAAAGAAGCAGGAACTATACATGATACTAAAAAATAAATCTTTCACAACCATGAAGTGATGAAAAATGGCGAAACTGGGAATCTGGGAAAACTGGGAAAAAGTAGCTGAATTTTTGGGGTCGAATTGTCCAATTCGTTGCTGTTAAAAGTCATTGACAGGATTTATCTTATGTCACCCCACTTTCATTCTCATTCTGGAAGCATCTTGAGATGGTAATCACTGTTAAAGTTTACATTCCCAAGACAATGGTGATCCAACAATTGACTCCGCAGCAGGCCTTCAAGTGACACGTCATTCATCCTTTGTTTTAGTCACTCAGTGACTCCCGGAGTCCTTTCGCCTTCCTGAAGTTCATTTGTTCGACTTCTCCAGTCCATATTTCTCCTCCAATCCATGCTCACTTGGGTAGGAGTTCGCGGTATGGCACCGTTAGGTTCCCCAGGTACCAAAAGATCCAAAACACCAGGCTAAGGAAGATGATGATTGGTCCGGTCAGGACAAACAAGTCCCAAAAACTGATGGGTGCAAAAATGCCAACGAAGAGGAGAACTAGTCCAGCTACGTCGAAAAGAACGGCCAAGAAGAGAAAGAGGAAGCAGCGTCCGACTCTTTCCTTGCAGTCCATCTTGGAGAAGCTCAAGTAAGCAGAACCCAAGGAATGTATGGCAGGCTGATGGGCCTGAAGAACGAATGACAGGAACTTTCCCTCCACAAGACTTTTATAAAGCAGCTCACCCACATTCTTACGCAGTGCATTTCTTTGACGGCAGGTATGCAACCACTAAAACAAGTTAAACTGCCTGGCGAACACCTACTGAAAAGGCCAAGATTGTTATGAATATTATTCCTCAGACCATTCTCATCACCATGACAGTGCATCTGCTAGAAAAACAGATTCAGATATTTCCACAGGCAGAGAAAAGCCTTCGTCAAAGCACCGGCGCAGATGCCGCATTACAAGTTGTGCTGAGTTGTTTTCTCAGTTACGTAATACTTAAATAACCGGTATGAGTCACAGAGAGACTTTTCACATTTCAGGAAGCCACACAAATTGAGGCATTATTCAATTTGACGATTAAACCCCAACACTCAAAGCCGATTAGGCATTAGATCAAATCCCTAACCGTAAGGATTTAGCAATAGTGACTAAGCAAACACCACATTAACTAAAAACAAAGAGTCATATGGGTGAAATGTGATTTAATGGTTTATACAAACTTGGGCTTTAAGTTTACATGCATTTCATATTGCATCGGTTAAAACGACAACTACAGTATTGTGAGTGAAAGAGGGAGTATGGAGTCAGGATTTGATTGGCATGTTACGATTATGTGTTTTACATTTACATAAATCATAAAAGAAAAAAAATATGTTTTTTTTTTTTTGCCGTATTGGTGCAGTATTAAATGTTTGTGTGCCAAGATGAACCAACAGGTCCTTTGAATTAATTTTCAGTCCATTGTATTTGCTGTCGGACTGGTTTGGTCACCGATGACACTAGCATCGAGTGTAGATCGACTAACAAATGAAATGGCTTGACTCTGGAGGAGTTTGCATGAGCGCTCAGCTGCCACTTTGAAAGGGAAATGGATTCCTACCATGCATGAGCTGATGGATGAATTTACAAATGAGGATGTGCAAAAACAAGGGCTGTACCTGAGCAGCATTTTACAACACAGAATATCATCAATAACAAAAACACAACACAAGTGGACATTACAACACGCACTGAATGGCTATATATCAGACAATATTTGGCCATTTTAGGATTATCAAAATTTGGCTGATGTAACCTCCACTTCTAGAGGTAATTTGCCAAAAGTTTTGCCAAAGCATTATAAATCCTTCAAATTAATTTTGAGTAAATATTGTGCAAAGTAAGAGTTTGCTTCATTTCACCAATTTGGTGTCCATTAAAAGTATTCTAGCATTATATCAGCCACCCTGCTTAATAGATATCAGGCCAATGAGAATCTTCAACCCCCCCCCCCCCCCCC